AAAACGCTACGAATTAATTCCAACACCTAATATATAAATTTTGATAGATTTTTCAAGAGAAAAAAACATTTTTTTAAATTCTTTATTAAAAATGGATATTAAATTAATTAAAGAATACATTGTTTTTACAAATAGAAGATATTTAATACAAATTTTTAAGACTACATGTTTTTATAGATCTATGAATTTGTGAACTTACATATGATTATAGATTTGTACGTCAATCTGTGAACCATTAAATTTATTACTTCTGATTTATTCTCCTTGTAGATTTGTAAATAAACAAATGGGTAAATTAAATTAATAACCATAGTAATCAAGGGATAATGAGCAAACGACAAAGTATCTGCACCTAAATTTAATCGTCATGCCGAGGGCGCAATAATGGTCGAAATTGTCCATTGTGAACGCCGAAAGCTTTGTACTAACAGCACCGCCTCCAAACATCACTGACATCCGCTAATCATTTGCCACCGTCGTAGATTGTAGGCATATAGGACGCACCTGTACTAGTACCCGTACCAATACCATGCGACCAGTGCCGTTTACTAATTGTCGGTGTGCTGAACGGGTTTGCACGGAGGGTAATGTCTCTACATCGCGAATTATCGATTAATCGCGGATTTGTGAATGCACTGTAAACCTAATGCGAAAGGATTATGATTAGGAAGGAATTTAGTATATAGAAAGGAAAATATAAATTTTATAAATAATCTCTTTTATAAAATGAATAGTATAACAATAGAAATAATGATGCAAATTTTATATATATATATATACACACATATATATATATAAAATTATGTATATATATATTATGTATATATATAATTATATATACATAATAGATATGCTTTTCAAAATAATTTTTCAAACATTTGATTACGTTTTAAAAAATAATTTCAATTATTTGTGCAATATTATATATATTTAAAGATTTTGCAAAATAATAATTGTACAAATTATTTTATTATTTAATTTACTTCGATAATTTTCTTTCATTACATACAATTATATTATATGTATGTATTGTATATAATTATTGTATGTAATTATCTCTGTACATCTTAAATTCCCCTAAAATAATTAGCACATATATGCTAAAGGAAATAATTCACAGCTGTTAACGATTTGAATTTGATCCTGAGTTTGTGTCGCATCCCCTCCGTGTAATCACCCCATGTCGGCACCGCCTGACACCACCGACACCATTAATGGCAACCAAGCAGTAACCAAACCCCTCTAAAACCTCTCTAAACTCCCCCTTTACCAGAGTACTGTCTTTACGACTAACTAGAGCACGTATTGTACGCTTCTCTTATTTGTGCACAGTTTTCCTGGTTTCTCCCGGCTTCGTATGCACACGAAGGGAGGGTCGCCAGTGGCCTTTGTCGAATATCAAGACGTTCGCTACGCGGCCCAGGCGATGGCCACTCTCCAAGGATCCTTTCTCCTCTCCTCCGACCGGGGAGCGATACGAATCGAATATGCAAAGTCAAAAATGGCCGAGGTGGGCTTTACAAATCTCTGGATCGAAGTAGGTTCCACTTTATGCTACGATAGAGACCGCTGCAAAGGACGCGGGGGGCGGCTCTATGTGAACTAGGCGAAGGTTTTGTACGAGGTACTCGTGAACTCGAAACCATCGATGTTTGTTCTGACGTTATTCATAGGACGAAGATGTTGGTTCCGAGAAAGACCTTAGCGCGAGGATTTTAGCGAGGGCGTTTCTTGCGCACTTAGCACATGCCGAGAGACTAGAGAGCCTCGATGAGAGTATTTGTTGCGGTCAAGAGTAGAGCTTCCGTACCTCCGAACATCCAGAGGCCTTGCTTATGCGCCAAAGTCCTTAGCACGAGTGTTTACGTTGGTCTAGCACGAGACTTTCGCACATACACGAGGCTCTGGGTGGTCCGACCTACAGTAGAGCCGCCTCCGCGAAAATGCGATCGACGGCGAATACGTAGGGTTGTGCTTTTGTCGATACTTCATATTATTTTCTTATTTTATTTTGGTGTAATAATTATTGTTATTATATATTATGAAATTTAAAATACTTCATTAAACAAAAATACTTTATAACGGTTAATAAATGTATGGAAAATATGAATATATTATCTTGGTGCTCTATTTAATGAATATATTGTTGAGTCATGAAGATAACACGAAACATAAAGTTTTAATAATATTTTTTTAAAAGGAAATTGCAATTTATGGTCTTTATAATATAATGAAATTAGAATTTTATAAAGAAAGCAATAGTTTAATTTGAAAACATATATGTATGATATTACAAATAAAATACGATTCAAAATATTACATTTAAATAATAAATTTACTTCAAAAATAAAATTTTTTTTAGAACAATATTTTATTGGAACTCTAAGCACAGCTGTGCGTTTTCGTCTAGGGGCCGAAATCGGTATAATCTCGATGAATTTACGTACATTGATGCTATAGATATAAAAAATGACTTTAATATTTAGAATTGCGGAAATGGCATTTTTCTGCATCCATAGCATAGAAGACATCATTGAAATAATATTGATTTCGGATTTTTACTTTTGTCAACCGTACCGAAATGCATTGGGCCCAGTGGATCCTGGATCCAATTATTCGGTCATTATTCGATCAAACTCACGCGGTTTCGCCCTCGAAAGCGTTTGTGCCTCGAGGCGCTAGACAGGCCGTCACTTCGAAGGCCAATTAAATCTAGTTGAAAGACCGACGACGGCTGTCCCGTCGAGGACTCGTATCCGAACAGTAGATGCGCTCTCGTGCGTTGGTGCCAATTATCAATTATCCGTCGTTAATCGCCTACCGATCACGTGAAATCCGGCGAATCTGCCCGTCTTTCTTTCCTTCTTTTTTTTTCTATCTCACTTTATCTCTCTATCGCTCGATTGAGATACACGTTCCCGTTTCTGCGATCGGAACGCGTACAATTTTTTATCTATTTTGAATTACTTTTTTATGATTTTCTCTCTTTTGAATTTTTGCACGATTCCAAACAGAGACTAAATTATAATTTCGAAGAGTTCAGAATTCAATGTTGGAGACAAGCAAAAATGATCTCGATATCTATTTCTGACTGATGAGAATGCGATACTGATAGCAAAGTAAATTTTATCATAGCATTGAAAATTGAACTCATCTAAATTATATGTTTCAATCCTAGACTTCAAGTTTTCTCTTTTTCCTGTTGTATTCCTTTCGTATTCCTCTATTGCCTGTTTGTCAATTTGCTCGTTCTTTATGATGTAATTTCCTTCATATAAATCCTTTCCTTTCCTATATGTTTTTTTTTATTTCCGCTGTATTAAATCTGTCTTCGTTTTACTGTACTATATAGATATGACGAGCACTATGCACCATCCTGTAGCAACTTTATATTAATCGGCAGTAGTAACGCTTGGGAAAACATTGGCTATATAAAGTAATAGGATTAATTTTATTGACTAAAATTATTTTTTATTAACAATTAGGATCCTTGATAATAAAATATTTTTAACTACATTTTTTGATACGATAAAATGTTGTATACAGTTTTAGATTTCATTGAAATGCAATTGTTTTCTATTCTTACATTATCGGAACGTATATTTTTTAAAAATCTTTGTACAAAAGACAAAGTGAGTTTGATATGTTAACGTTCATTTTATTTTTTGGTTTAACTTTAATCCGTTTAAACAAAATGAATTGGAAAGATTGTACGATAAAAAGCCATGTAAGATAAAAAAAGAGGAAAGTCAGACAAAACGATGATTCTGAGGTTCCGCTTTTAATCAAGACCGTATTTCCGCCGATGAAGGAAGATTCGTCGGACATTTAAGGATCGATCCCACTTACGTAATTTAAGGGCTGAACTAAGTTCAACTCACAGGTTATCCAACCGCTAAAAGGATTGAACTAATTAATTAACTAAGTAATTAAGTCGCGTTAAATGAAGCTGGTGAAGTTATTCATTTGTTCAAAATGATAGTAATATTTCGGCAAAGCTTATAATAACTGTGACATTATTTATGCATGACATTCGATATATAATAGACACGTCAAGAAAAAAAAATTGCATCATTTTTCATTTAAAAAGGGGTTAATAATCATGCATGTCAAAGTTAGAAGAATATAAGAATTTGAGTGAAGTTCTGTTAAATCGCAAAATATATGTAATATATAAAGAATTATTTGAAAATCAATAACTTGAATAAAACAGCTATTTATTTTTTTATCATTAGTTATTTCCTTTCCATATAGCCTTGTCTTTATTGGCTCTTGTAAAAAAGAAAATTAATTAATCAAAGACATCTATATTATACGAAACGTTGGAAAAAAATTGATTTTTAAAGATTTAAAAAGATCTCGAAGAAATATAAATATAAGATGTACATTTTTGAAATATGCAAGAGATTGAGAGATAGAAATGAAGAACTCGAGAATCCATTCGACACGTTTGAAAATGGATTCCCGACAGGGCAAAAGTGTGTCACCAAAAATTGATCGGAGAGGCGTTATAAAAGAGCGTTTCAGATCACTCGACTTTACTCTTTGAAATCGGTGGATCGATACCGTTCACTTCCAATTGCAATTGTGTTGCAACTTGTTTATTCATACATGACGTCGAAAAGTTGTGATTGGTCACGCTATAAACGAAGCTGTGGCTACGGATCGACCCCCATTTTCGAATTAAACGATCGATACGGTCCGCTTGGGGCTGGGCACGGCCGAATACGTCATTGTTAATTCATGTCGTTTTATAGAGACGTCTGGCACCGCAACGTTCACCTAGTGAGATACGATGAATTAAAACTCTTGCCCTTTTTCGAGCAAACACATTCAATCCTATGAATATTTTCTCTTCCTCTGTCCTGCAAGCGTATATATCAGAAAATCTTTCGCATTTACGCTTTTAATAGATGAAGGTGAATCTTTTTATAGAATTGTTGAGGAACAACAGAGAGCGAGAGAGAGAGAGAGAGAGAGAGAGATTTGAGTTGAATAGTCGAGTTTTTAATTTTCTACCTCTGGGAGAAGAGTTTTTAAGTGTTTTTGAAATTTATTTGCATTGATTTATTTAACAGAATTTTCAAGACTTTTTCATTTCTTGAATCTTTAAACCGTTTAATTTCTTTTTATGTAAACACTGAAAACTTTAAATTTCTTGAACTACTTAATACGTCGTGTATTTCTTTCTTTACACATATACAAACACACATAGAGTAAGATGGTACAATTTCGAACATAGTACAATTTTGAATGAAATAAAATAATCCAATTTTCGAGGTTCAAGTTTGATAAACATAATCTCATTGTATGGAGGATATTGGAAGGAATCAAATAGAGGAAAAAAAAGTTAAACTTTGGAATTGGATTCAAATTTTATTTTGTTCATAATTTTATCATATTCGAAATTATATCACCTTATTCTATACATAATATATTTTAAATTATATTACGAAATGTTTTTTTATGTATAATGGAATATATTATTTTTATTTAACATATTGAATATTTTTGATATTATAATTTTTTTTACGTTCAAAAATCTTTACAATATTAATACGTCGTGAAAAAATATTGTCGTAAGATTTAGGTTGTTTTATTTTCATATTTACATCGCTCCGCCTTGAATCTATTCTTGCTATGTAAATACGTTTTATTCATAAAATCTCTGTTTGTTCCTGCGAGATTTCTTTCAGACATAACAAAACTCAATCTATCTATATTTCTATATCTTGTGCTTCCCTTATTATACCTTTCTTTTCTTGGCCGTGTGTGTACCTTTTCGTCGACCGAGAGCTTTGAATAAATCGTGAAAGAGCGCTTTTCAGCACAGTCACGTCCTAATGAGGTACGCAAATTACTCAATGGCAATGTCGTCTCTTCAGCTTCACGCGGACACTCTTCATGTGGTAACAAGACAAATGTAGGTTGTCCTTTCATCCTCGTTTGGACTCTCGACCGAGTCTTTTTCAAACTATCACAACGTGACTTATTGAGAACCGGTATTAAAAAATTCGTTAGAAATGATCTTCGACTTTTGGTTTTGAATCCTCATGTCTTTCGACAATTGCGAAAGTTTATAATTCGATTTTAGATCTACTTCAAATATAGATACATTCAAAATTTATATGAATTTTTTACAATATCTTTGAACATACATTGAGTAATATTAATAATTATAGCTTAAAAATGATGCAATTTTCTTTCTTGTATATATATTATTAAGAATGTCTGTTATATATGTTTAGTGGCATAATTAAAGAATTATTGTGTTCCAAAAAGAATTAAATTTTATCTGGTCTCACATATTGATGACATGCGATTTAATTATAAAAACATCGTCTCGTTGCAGTTAGGATTTCTTACGTATCATGAATTGTCCTAATCGCTTGCATCAATTTTTCAGGGATCAAAGAGACAAGAAAACGGCCAACCTTAAGATTGACATCAATGGCATGTAAAAAGGCAGAGTATCGGGCAGCCCGAGGAGATGACAGAACGCGCTTTAGGACAGGATATCCACCGGAAAACAAGACACGAGGAAGAACCATACAAGAAGTCGCACTGTCGGAGCAGTTAAAAGATTCGTCGGCGAGAGATCGCGGGAAGCGAAAGGACGCAGGAGCAGTAACACACATACATATATATACAAGAAAGAAGGGAAGAGAAGAGATGCAAAAAATTGCGAGCGTGGGTGGAAGGGCAAGATTTCGCTCTTCAGCCCGAAAGGGACACAGCGAACACATCGGCAAATTCTTGTAAATTCTTCAACGTTGCAGAACAGAGGCGTGTTGGTTCGCGCGACTCTAGCGGGGGGCCCAATATAATCACATAATAATTCCTAGGTATATATATTTTTTAACGAACTTAACTTATCGATTCGCGTACCTACCTTTACCTACTATTTATTTTCACCGTGTCTTTGATCGCGATCGACGACGACGAAGCGAGAGACAGGGGCGGGGGTGATAGAAATGTGACTGGTGGAGCATCGAGGAAAAGGCAACAGAAGAATGAAGCAAGCGAGGAAACGGATTTTATTTCTTGTATGTGTATACATATGTAAAGAAGAATGGCACTCTTCGCAGTTACACGCGCACGTCATATCGCGATATTTGGTTACACGTACATGTATATGTACCATGCATACACACACCCATACAAACAAATACATTTATATGCGGCAATCGCGAAGATTTTTTCAAACATACCATGCCACCCTGGGATACATCCGCACGTACCATGAAATTTACATTCAACGATAAATCTATTGGATGTTTTTGGAAACAAATTTCTGACAAATTTCTTAAATAAGTCACATTGAGCTCGAATTTTCCAAATTGTTCATATTGTTGAAAAAGTAATAGTCATAAGTATCGAGCCTCGCAAAAATTAAGCTCATTAGCGCGTGATTAAAATACACAATAATGCACAATGCGAATCCTGGTGGTGGCTTTAACACGAAATTGCATATTCTACATACTGAAACGAAACAAGCGAGGCGAAGATGAGTACATCAAGCTTAATACCAAAGGTGCCCTAAGAAGTGTGTATTTATGTTTTATCATCGGCGCGTCGCGCGCGTAAAATGAACGCGCGTACATTTAACTATTGTATCTTGTTAAAAAGAGTCTAGTGTGAAGTCCTAGGTGAAGATGTAGTGCGTGTGCGTGTGCGTGTGTGCGTGCGTGTATGTGCCTGTATATGTGTGCGTGCGTGCGTGCGTGTGGTGTGTGTGTGTGTGTGTGTGAGAGAGAGAGGGGGGGGGGGGACGAAAAGAACATGAAAGAAAGGAAAAGTGATTAAATTGAGAGAATGATAGGTGAGAGAGTGTTTGTAAGTAATAATCTTATACATATATATACATAACGAACGCGAACATATCATAGGGTTAAGCCTGTAGAAGAAAATTCAAGTACGGCGAGAAGAGAATTTGAATCGTCCGCTTCTCCATAAAGTAAAAAAATCGCGCGAGAGCGGATGGAAGAAAAGAGAGTAGTAGTGAAGGTGATGTGCCCCGCGTGTTAGAAACGGCGGCCAACTCGGCACGTAATTTGCCCAAGTGCCTTTCTGTTGGTCGAGTCACAAGCTGTAATCGATAGCGTGTTACACACATAGATCTTGTCCCGATTTTTCGAACTCCCAAAGAGAAAATTCCCGGCGCTTCTCTAAACATGCAACCGTATCCGAAATACGTCCCATTCGCCTCTATTTCGCCCTATTGTACTTCCCTTTCCCTCCCGCATTCTCCTTATTTTCTCGGTGGCGGAAAGCTGCAATGAGGACGCATTAAAGATCTCATAATAATTCAAAGGCCAGAAGCGAGTTTTTAGTAAGTATTCGAACAAAATTCATTTCCCGAAATAGCTTAATAAATTCATTAATAGCTATCTTGATAATTTCTTTTTGATATGATTTTTCTTTGACTCTGTGCCGAATGCTTTCATAAATATTCTTAAATAGTAGAATGCTTTCATAAATAATCTCATGCAACTATGCGTACGTACTAAAGAAAATTATAATGATATTTGCATTTTATATTTGATGTATGATTTTAATAAGTTTACATTTTTAATAAGATTACATGACGAGTATTTTTATTGATTATAACATGAGATTATAAATCAATCTTGATAAATAGTCGTAACAACGATCATTAAAGTATCTTTCCGTAATTTAACGCAGCTTCCGTCGAATCCTAGAGTTACATGACCAACCTTTGTATCTCCCGTTATATCACTGGGCATTTATTACATGTATCCGCAATTAACGAAAATGGAAGTTACTTAAGAAATAAAAAAGCCGCCGATTAAACAGTGGATTATATTGGTAAAGGTGATTATCCACCGGCGTGCTCGGGCGAATCGATCGATCATCCACTGATCTCCCATCATCGTCGTCATCGATCGTCAAGTCATGATCGCGTCAGTATGTTCTTTATTTTTCTACGGAAAGCGACTGGAGAGCACTACGTTAGAATCACTCCGCGATATTGGGACTTGACGAATACACGATACATCTAAATATACGCGTGAGAAATAGAAGAAGAGATAATGGAAAGTAAAAGGATACTGTTATCAGGCAAAATATTCGAATTTCCACTTAACTCTTTGTGCTCTTACGTTCGAGTTCTACTTTACATATCAATGTAGGTTATCGAAAGGGATAAAAAATTGATATTTTGTAATGCTACAAATTTTGGATTTAACGCTACAACTAACTAACAAACCACTGCGATAAAAAAATGTAATTTACGAAACTTTAGGAGGTATAATCTAAGTTATAATCGAATCGAGGCCTTACAATTCGAGGAGCAGTAAAATGGACTAAAATTCTCATACACAAGAGTATCCATCTCAGATATTCAAAAACAAATGATTGCGTTAACGTGTAATTGAGTGATGAAAAAAAAAACTTGATTAGCATATCATTGCGGATAGAATAACTTTCATGCGCTTGAAACCAGACTTTCACATGGTTGGCCTTCTCTTAAAAAGAAGTATTATAATGTTCTCAATGCATATCTTTTGCAATTAAGAAAAATAGAATAAATAACATTTGAGTGCAAAGGGTTAATGGAATATGTCAGTGTCCACAGATAAAAATCTATGAATTTTTGAATCACGAATAAGATAAATATCTAGCAAAAAAGAAGATGAGAGAAATATAGCGAAGATAGGCTAATGAAAAATGTAAACAGACGAGTTTGGATAACGCGACCGTGATCGCTCGAGTATCGCGATCGCGAGGGATGATCATCGATCTTGGAAAGATGCGAGGATGCAGCGCGGCAAAAGCATTATTCGGTGTATTCAACAGTTCGTTATTTTGTAATTAGCCGTTAAGAGGCGGATTCGTCGTTATTCACGATTGCAATCGATGAATCGTTAGATTGAATTTTAAAGTGCTTTACAAGTGAACTAACACATATCAGTAGGCAGTACGCTATTATTACATTAACATAGAGTGGTATTCGCGTAAGGATATATTAGAGGTTAATATAAAATATGAAAAAGTATATATATATATATATATATATACATATATCTACAGATAGATATATATATATGAAGAAGAAATATATATAAACCACACTTTTAAAGTACAGGGGCGAGAAGTACATGTCAATCAGATATTTTGTACCGTCTCTAGAAAATTACTCTAGCAAGTCCGTTTTATTTCTTTTTTATATACGTATATAAATATACACGTGTATAGGCATAAATACAGTATCGTGAAAGCGAATCCTGCGCAACGCACTGCGAGATGAATCATGCGAAATGTGAGCGTGACCGGGACCCTATAGCGCTCTTTTATTCTGAAAGAAAAATAGCGAAAAGTATCGTTTATTGAGCGGAAAACTCGGGAAAAAATCGTACATTTGACAAATAAAATATAAATGAACAATTATTAATTAATAACAATATAGGGGATTGAAAACAAATGTTATCTATATAAATACACTGGAATCTTTCTTTTCTACATGAATATAACAATTTACGAAATCAATTAATTAACAAATATATATATAAAAGATATGTGTGAAATGTTCAAATATTTTGAAAATTAAGAAATCTGCAGCATTAAACTGATTTCATCGATTGTACGATTTTTCCTTCGAGAAGACACGTTCCTGCTTTGATATCATTTATTCGCATGATTGATCCACTGTACACTTCGGCAAATTACAACTCGAATGGTTTGCATACTAAAAAATATCTTATAAAATTTGATCTACAATAACAATTTCGCGTGAAACTCACTGAAAGAGGGAAGAAAGCGAGATCGAAGAACGCGAGATCACCAAAGATGGCAATGTATCGATCCAAAGACTACCAATAGACCTCACAAAGACTATATCACGCTGTGAAAAAAACCGTTAATATGCACCACCTGATGCTAGACTGCACCAATCTACCATAATAATAGCGCGATGAAAAATCAAGGCAGATATTTGAATTGCACGGAAATATTATAATTTGCCTTTGCTTTTTGAATTTCTCTCGTAGATCCCGATTCCGTCCTCGTAGAACATCCTATTATAGGATCGATTCTCGAGATTCTAAAGCTTCTACACATCTACAAAATTATACGAAAACCATAATCCAAAATTATATTAATTTGAAGTTTTACGTTTGATTAATATCAAGATAAATATTGCATAATCCATTACTTTTTTCAATAAATAACACATGAAAAGTAAAAAGATTGCATTGGCACTGCGGTAGTCAGAGATCGCCGGTAAAAACTTACAATTGATGGCGATGAATTGTCATTAGACTTTTTAACGATTAAAAAAATCGGGCAAAAAATAATAGAATGATTGAATTTTATATTTTTTTGTTTAAAATTGGTTATGAAAATCACGTTTCAAATTTGCCAGCGTCGAAAAAAGGCTACGTACCTTATCATAATATAAATATGAGCATATAGGGCAACCAGGATTAAGTGCTCCTTCGAGCCTGACCACACTTCGAAAGTAATGACCATAGTAGTATTGCCGAGACACCAAAAATGAAAGTGAAAGTGAGAGGGCACGATAAGATATGCGTAGACAAAATACATATCAATTTTCTAAAGCGCGCGAAATGCGAAGCGGATTTGCCGCGGCGATATATATCGGATAAATAGACAGAG